GGTATCTCCAAGGCCTGCCCTCCTTCCAGCATGGAGAGAAGGTCTACTTCTGGTTCATTTGTCTCAGATATTTTATCTTTTTTCTGGACATGTGCCGATATGGCCATCTGCTTTTGCTTCTTGGGCATGTTTAATGTTTATCTGTGGCCCTAATAATTAATTAATTATGTGTTTTGGTAATTTTTTATGTTTTCTGATTACCTCCAGGAATATGTGATTAGGATGTGGTCTTCCCTTTTCACGCTTCTTATTGCTTAACTCAAAGTAACTTTTTTGAGCCTCAGTTGGGCCTGGGCCTCCAGGGTGGGCCGTTTGGGCTTTGGGTGGGCGGGTTGAGCCTAGGGCGGGCAGTTTGGACCTCTGGGGGCTTGGGCATCAGCGACCAGGCTGTAGGAGGTTTGGGCCTCGGGCGGGTGGTTTGGGCCTTGGGTGGGCAGTTTGGGCCTCTGTGTGCCTGGACGTCAGCATCTGGGCTGCAGGAAGGTTGGGCCTCAGGAGGGCCGGTTGGGGCCTCGGGCGGGCGGGTTGGGTCTCAGGGGCACTGGGCCTCAGCAACCTGGCTGCGTGGCGGGTTGGGCCTTGGAGGCCCTGGACCTCGGCGGCGGCGGGTATGTGATTTGGGCCTTGGTTGGGCCTAGGCCTTTGTGACCAGTCTGTGGGCAAGGTGGGCCTCAGGGCAGGCCTTGGCCTCAGTGCAATCTATTATCTTTTAATTCTATTTTTCCACAAACTTTTTAACTCCCCTCATATGGTGACTAGGTCCTTTCATGCCAAGTTTTTCTGTTTGATGGAGCTAGTTCATGAACTGTCTCTTCAACCAAATACATGCTTCTCAAATGAACTCTTTTTTTTTAACAAAACACAGATTTTATTTCTCTCATTGGCTCCCTGAGGTTAGGTCACTGAGTGTGGTCAGGCTTGGCTGAGTAGACCTGTCCTCTATGTATGGGGCCTGGTGGTCAGCCTCCAGGTGAAGGTGAAAGAGATTCACCAGATTTCCCCCGGCAACCTGCACTAGGGAGGTAGACAGGAGACCTTCTGGGTTTTATCAGCTACTCCCAAGATGGAGGAATAGGACAGTACACAGGCTTCCCTGGCAAGAAAAGGGGCTGGTGGTACCTCAAAGCCACATAGAGAGGTGAGAACCACCAACCACCTTACATACTGTACTTTTCTCGAGAGAGCGCCACCATGTGGACAGCCATTGTTGAAGGAAGTCACCATGTCAGCCATAGTTTGGGTGTCAGTTCAGCTGCTTGAGCCACACAGCCAATTTCACAACCTGGAAATGCCAGATTCCTGGGAGGGAGTTGGGACACACAGACCAGAAGACAAATGACCATGGGAGCAAAGACAGGGTGGGTGAATGTCCACTGGAGGAGGGAGCAGGGATCCTGAGTCCTAAGAGGCTCCAACGGCCAGGAAGATGCAAACTAGAGTTGAGAATAACCACTAAGCAAGAAGCCCGGGGTCATCAGCAGCATGCTATTCAGAAAGAGGCTGAGCCAACTCCTGGCCTCCAAAAACTGCTTCATGGGGATTGGAAAAGGGAGACTGACATCTTAAAAGAAGGAACCCATGTCCCATAAACTGTTGAATCTGTACTTCATTCCCCATACTTGATGGAATTTAAAAAGCTCGGACCATTCTATCTAGAGACAATTCCTACCTGAATTTCTATTTCCTTTGATCTCATTGCTATGCACAAATATTTTCTGGCCTGCTTGTCTAAGGTACACCTGACTCAAGCCATGGTATTTTTTTATTGCTTCATATGTATGTGAAAGCTGATAATAAGGAAGGCTAGAGAAGAATTGATGCCTTTGAATTATGGTGTAGGTGAAGAATATTGAACATACCACAGACTGTCAGAAAAATGAACAATATTGGAAGTAGTATAGTCAGAATACTTCTTATAAGTGAGGCTGGCGAGATGACTCACATACTTTGGATATGTGATCAGAAGGGTCCAGTCCCTGGGAAAAGACATTATGACTGGTAGTTTTTAAGTGCTGTTGAGTCAGTTCTGACTCACAGCGACTCAGTATAGGGTTTCCAAGGAGCAGCTGGTGGGTTTGAACTACCAACCTTGTGGTTAGCAGTTCATTGCTTATTCTACAGCATCACACCAGTACTCCATGCCTGAGGAAGACCCTCAGGATTTACATAGTAGCTGCAACAATAGACTCAGACATAAGGAATGATGGCGAGGATGGCACAGGACAAGGCAGCGTTTCATTCTGTTGTGCATGGGGTCACTATGAGTTGGAACCAACTTGAAGGCACCTAATAACAATTCAGAAATTTTAGCTCGGACAGTAAGCAGATCTTTTTGAATGGATCAGTTGCAACATTTGGGGTTTTCATACATCCTGCTCCTATACGACCTGGTGGTATGTCAAATGATTCGAAAAATGCATTTTTTGTTTTGTTCCTCACTGACTTTGACCTCTTACAAAAATGCCAAGTTTTTCTCTGTTTGATGGAGCATGCCTACTGAGATTGCAGAGCTAGTTCATGAACTTTCTCTTCAACCAAATACCTGCTTCTCAAATGAACTCTATTCAAATGTTCTTTTTAACAAAACACAGACTTTATTTCTCTTGTTGGCTCCCTGAGGATCTCAATTTAGCAACTTGTGGGCATTCCAGCTCATCTGACCCATGCTCAGGGAATCGAGCACTTGGTGTGGCTCTAGGGAGTGAGATGGGGAGTCATAAGGGGCATACTATGATTCACTTTCAGGAAACTCTTTATCTCATCTTGCACTGTAGGCTCAGGGAGCCCCAGAGGCTCAGTCTTGTCCCTAGAAGAGTCCTTATCCCCATCCTCATTCTCCTCATTGCCCTCGCTGATGTCAACATATACCACCTTCTTGGACTTGGTAGGGCTCAAATCAGTGCCAGTGCTAGAAGATATGGAAAGCTTGAGCTCTGACGGGCTGGTATGCTCCTCCTCATTCTTCTCATCCTCAGCAGTAGGCTCCTGAGAATTGAGCTGCTCTGTGTTGAGGACAGTGGCCTCATCTTTATTGGTGTTGGGCTTGGGCAGTGTGTAGGGTGACTCGGAGATGCGAGAGGTGCTGTGCTGGGAGGTATGTTGGGAGGGCTGGTGGGTCCACTTGGTCTCCTCTAGCTTACGTAGTAGGCAGGTCCAGTCGATCTTTGAGGACAAGCAAATGCTAGAGCCCTCCACCTTCTTGAAGCCCAGGAAAAGGTCCAAGAGCACCTCGGTGACTGGGAAGGAGATGAAGCCCAGCTGCTTGTTGAGATTTCTCTCAAACTTGTACTTATAGAGGAGCAAGGAGGTGGCCTGCTCCACCAAGAAGTTGACAAATTCCTCCTCCCAGGGGAAGGAGAAGTGGGACTCCGTAGACTTGGATGAGATGGAGGATAGCCGTTTCTTCCTAGAGAACTTGAGACGGGGATTCTGTGCAGCAGCCAGGAAGAAAAAAAGGAGCATATCATGATCCTGGCCCTCTCCCATACCCCCTGCCCCCTCTCCACTGGCTGCCCTGAGACTCCCTCTACAATAGCCACACCAGCCTCATCACTACCCACACAAATGCCTTGTCATGCTCATGGGACAGTCTTGGGGCACCTACTCTGCTGGACACACTCAGATGCTGAGTACACATTCTATATGCACGTCTGCCAAACTGTACTGTATATTCACCACACAGACACACGTGTCAGTCCCCGTGTCAAGGCCAGTGGCCACAGTCACATTGACAGCCAGGTCCTCCCTAGGCTTCTAAGAGCTCAAGCTGAGGCCCGGCTGTAGAGGAGGGCAGCCTGCTAAAGCCTAGATGGGTCAGCTGGGAGAGCTGGAGGACTATACACTACAGAGATCACCTACATCTGTCAGACAATGTTCTGGGACAGCTCCCTTGTCTCAGGCAGTTGGATTAGAGGGTAAAAAACAAAACCCATTGCAGTGGAGTCAATTCCAACCCATTGAAACCCTATAGGACAGAATAGAACTGCACTCTAGGGTTTCCAAGGCTGTCAGTATTTACAGACGCAAACTGCCTCATCTTTATTCTGAGGAGTGGCTGATGGGTTTGAATCACAGAATCTTTTGATTAGCAGCCCAATGCTTAACCCACTGAGCCATCAGGGATCCTCCTGTGCATGGAGGAGGGCCTTCAAATTTTAAATACAAAGGTTTAAAAAGTACCCAGAATAAAACATAGCTTTTATTCATCTTTGACAACTCCTAGCTCCTAGTTCAGCCAGGATTCCTGGTCTCTCATCACCTTATCACCTTGCCCAAGAGGTTTCCACAGTGCAGAACAAGAGACTGTCATTTGGGCTGCTAGAAGTGTTGGATGACTGTCATTTGGGCTGCTAGAAGTGTTGGATGAAGGAGCCTTCCCTCTGCAGAGATTCCCCCCAGGCTCCCAGGAGCTCCCTTGAGGAGGCCCTGTTTGGACACAGTGAGTTGGAAGATGTTAAGAAGTTGCCTATTGCAGAGAGGTGTGGGGAGAGTCTGGAGAAGAGGTGGCAGGAAGGGAGGTGACAAGGGGAGGCTGTCAAAGGGGACCCCAGGGAGAAATGAGCATGGTTAGAGGGCACATCCACTATGATCCTAGGGATGGGCATTGTGAGATGCAAGCCCCTCCAGGGCTGGGCCCTCTTCCTGGAGCTCGGGGACCTAGAGGTGGGCTGTGGTGGGCTCTGCTCTTTGGGTTCCAGGTCAGACCCCTCATGCCTGGAAGATGAGGGGCAAGAGACCTCTTCTGTGGGTGTCACCTTGAGCCTGAGTTTGGTGGCCACCTGGGTGCCAGACACAGGAGAGCCCTCTTCCTTGACTTTGTTCCGTATTCTGCCTTTGACATTCTTTTTGCTATCCATCTTGAGGTTGGAGGCTACGGTAGGGAACAACTCATAGAACTCTCCCCCGTAGGCAGGGTCTTCCTCAGGCGAAGTTGGCATGGAGTCCGGTGACAGCTGGGAGCTGGGCGGTGGCTCAGGCTCTGGGCTTGGCTCACAGGCTGCGGGGAAGAATAGAGGACGGCCGTCATGGCGGCGGGCGCCACTGAGCTTATTTACAGCCTGGCCAACCACATGCTGCAGGGCAGGGAAGAGGTGATGCTCAGCCAAGAAGTCTAGCGTGCGATGGGGCTCTCGGGCCGAGCAGTAGCCTGGCAGGTCGAAGGAGGCCGGTTGATTCTGTAGTGACCTCATTTCCTTGTTGAACTCCCGCTTGAGAAAGACCAGTTCTCGCTGGGCAGTTCCTAACTCCGATGCTGCAGGTGTGCCTGAGTCTGAACCCAGTAATTCAGAGAACCAAGACAGGGGCTGCTCCAGAGTCCACTGGCTGCTGGCCTGACTGTCCAGCGAGTCCCACAGCAGAGAGTACCTCTGTGAAGAGGGCTTGCTCTGGCTTTTCTGCAGAGAGATGGGGACTCAGTGAAGTTCCGGGGGCAGCCCTGCCAGCAGGGACTGACCCTCAGTTACAACCCACCTGTTCCATACTCCACCCTGGACCTTACCCCTTTGTTCTCCAGCCTGAGCAGCCGCTTGAGGTTCCTCTCCAGCAGCAGCCTATCCTTCATGGGGGGTAGGGAGCCTACTCCACGGACATCCTGGTCGCTGTCACGGTCGCGCCCGCCGACCAAAAGACTGCTGTGGGAGTCGGGCGCCGAGCTGGAGCAGGATGGGTAATTGTTGAGGTGCCCAGTGCAGAGGTTGGGCCGGGTCCGGTGTCGATGTACGGTGCTGAGGTTGGGCCGTACCCTCATTGGCCGCCCCTTGCTAGGCATCTCCATTGGATCCTGCACCTCCACCAGGGGCTCCCCAGCTTCTGTCCTCACAGTTGCCATGCGCTCCGTGGCTTCCTCCACCACTGTCTGAAGGCTGTCCAGCACTTGGCCCTCGGTCAGGAAATCCAGGAAGCTGCCAAAGGGCTGGGTGCCCCATGGGCTGCGGCGGTGGCCCCGGAGGGCTGAACTGCCTGAAGGCTCGTACAAGGATGGTGGATGTGGCTCGTGAACCAGCTTGGAGGTTGACCCCATTTCCGGGAATAGTGGCTTTCTGGGTGGCTGCACCTGAGCAGATAGGTGTGTCAAGGTGAGAAGGGATGCCCTCAAAGGGAGGGCTGCCTGCAACCCTCCTGGGACCCTAGGAGATGGGTAGAGGAAGGCAGTAGGAGGAATTGCGTTTTGGAGTCAGTCTTTGAGAAGGACCCTGGGTAGGCTAACTTGAGCTATGTCACCCTGGGTAAATTGACCATGCTTGAGAACAATTTCCTCAACTGCAAAGTGGGGCTCTAATTTGGGCTGCCCTGAACCTCCCTGACACCCATACTTCACAACTGGAGGACTGTTTCTTCTCTGGTGATGCTCCTCCCACCTCATGTGAAGAAATCCCTTAAAACTTTGGGAGCATCTTATCTGAACCATGGGGCAGGCTAGATAAGTTTATAACGCGGGGTTACTCCAGGCCACCTGAGGTCCTGGTCTCTGTAATCCTGGTCTATGGCTGCTTCTCCAACTGGAGCCCTCTCTCTAAGAAGACCAGGCGCCTCTAGTCCAAGGTTCCTGCCCACCTGGCCCCTCCCAGACAGCCAGGTTTCAGGGACCATGGGAAAGGGATGAAGGTGATTAGGGCCTAGCTGAAGCTTGGAGGAGTAGGGGGCACTGAGGTCTGGGGCACAACCGCAATTAAGCAGCCCAGATTAATGGGGGTATAAACGTCAAGGGTGCCGGTCACACTTACCCGAGCCACGTACGTGGTGTGACCTGCCTCATCATCTGCCAAGTACCCAGAGTGGTGGCGGTATTTGGCCATGGTGCTAGCAGCCAAGCCAGACCCCAGCCTCCGCTGGCTCGGGTTACGCCTTGCAGTCGTGGCCTCTTCTCTGCATTGGGAGGGGAGACGGTGGTGTGAGGGTCCAAGCCTCCGCCTGTCATTTGACCTCCAGTGTATCAGTGGCCCTAGGGCCTGCGCAGTTCCCTGGCTCCAGGTGCCTGGCCTAGAGGATGTCCACTTCCTGTCGGAACATCCCCAGGTCGGGTTTGCCTTTCCTCCCTCTTTGCACATCCGGGGCGGGCCAGCTCACCAGAGTTCACGCCTCGATCCGGGTTGATCCACTCCGGCCTTGGCCATCCGCGCCACGCTAGAGCACTAACACACAATACACTGGGACAGCTAGCCACTGCTTCGTGCTCATTTGCATGCTGCGTCCGGATTGGTGTACATGGACCCCTGCTATCTCCTCCGCACAATTGTGGGGGCGGGGTCCTATTGACCCCTCCCCCACTTTACTATGCTCTGCCCCACCCACATTCCAGCAGGAGTCTTGACCTAGGCATGCGGCTGACCCCCTCTCGGCCACCCCACTGCACTGGGACAGGGGCAGGAGTTGCTAGGGGGGATGTCCAGTTGACACAAGCACTTCCCTTGAGGCTACGCTGCCCTGGCCCTCTTGCTCTCAGACAGCTCCTTGCCTGGGGCATTCTATCTGTGGCCAGAGTCCAGGTTTTCAGGGTTTGCACTAAGTTTCAGCTCTAAGTTACAGACCTGGCTTCAGTTCCTGGTTCTACTGTTCCTTCTTTGTCCATGATTGGGGTGGGAGTAAGGTGATTAAAGCTTTATACAACACATCCACACTCCAACAGAACATCTGTACTTCCTCTCTCTTTCATTTCTCCCTCTGTCTGGTTAACTCAGCAAGTCATCTCCAAGAAGCCTTCCCAGAATTCACCCTAAAGTCTTGGCACAACGTTGTTAGTAAATGATGTCCTTAAGGATGAGAAGGAGACCCTTATCCTTAATGCTTCCAGTGCCTGACCCATTTTGGAAAACAACAACAAAACAAACATCATACAACCTCAAAGACCCTGGCTAAGATCAGAAGAACTAAACAATGCACAGTTGCCACTGTTGACAGCTCTGAAAGGAAGATAAAATGCGAGAAAAAATTGGAACAATACTCAAATTCATAAAAAAGATCAGGCTTACTGGTTGGTTAGAAGCTGGTGGAAACCCTGAGATGATGATCCTTAGTCATCCTTCAGGCCTGGAACTGAATTCACCTCTGTGGCTAAACTTGCAGCCAAACAATAGACAAGCCTATAAACAATGACATCAGTGAAGTATGTATTTCTTAGTTAAAATCAATCAACTATAGAAGATCCAAAGGGCAGCACTTGCCCAGAGAGAAACCTCAGAAGGCAGGATGAGATAGGAAAGAAGGAGGAATAGAAACAGTAAGTACAGGGAGGAAGGAGGAAGAGTGCTTGCTGTGACATTGTGAGGATGGCAATCAGCGTCACGAAGCAAAATGTGTATACATTGTGGACTGGAAAACCAATTCTGTAAATTTTCTCTCAAATCACAATAAAAAGTAAAAACTAGACTTTAAGGTCAAGATGGTGGAGTAGGCAGATGCACTGAGCTGACCCTGTGCAAGAAAGACATGGTAGACTAAGTGAAACGGTGGCCAGTCCTCACCGTTACCAACCTAGCAGCCAGTGGCCTCCCTCTTGTGCAGCCTCTTCTCTGCTTGGGGTCAGGCACCAGGCATAGCACTTCTGCTTTTGGAGGCAAGTGAACCAACTACTATACACACAGTGAACAGAAAACTGTGTTCACACTTCCAGTTTCTACCACATCTACCAGGAGAGAGTTGGTGAGAGCTTGAGAATACACCAATGTGGTGGTGGTTACCACCTAATCGGTTCTGGCTCATAGCAACCCTTATAGAGTTTCAGAGGCTGTAAATCATTACGGAAGCAGAAAGTCTCATTTTTCTCCCATAGATCAACTGGTAGATTCAAACTACTAATCTTTCGAATAGTACCCCAACTCGTAATCCACCACTATGCTCTCAGGGTTCTTCACACTAATATACAATCATCAATTAAATATAAATGTTGTTGTTGCTGTTAAGTGCTGTCGAGTTGGTTCTGACTCATAATGACCCTGTATAGGGTTTCCCAGAAGTAGCTGCTGGGTTTGAACTGTTGACCTTGTGGTTTACAGTCTAGTGCTGATCCTAAATATGACATCACAAACTCTCAGAGAAAACAGACAATTTAAACATATGCAAAGGAACAAGACAGAGTGCTTCAAACAAGTGACCAAAATATAGAGTCAGAAAATATAATAGCAGAATTGGTATCAGAACAATCTAACACGGAATTCAAAAGAATGCTATTTAGGCACCTTCAATGGATTGAAAGAATGATCGAGATATTTTCAGATTAAATCAAGCAAAATATAAACAAAACTACAGAAGAATCCAGGAAGCAAACGGATAAAATATAAGGGTGAATCAAAAATTATCCACACTCTGGCTATAGAATTTATTTTAGTCAACCTTTAGAAAAGACAAATACATCATTTTTGACATAATCTTTTTGTTTACAATACACTTTGTCCATCTGTCAACAAACTTTTATATTCCTTTATTTAAAAATGCTTTAGAAGGGAGAAGAACGGAGTATGGGACCCTACCCAGAGAAACAGTGACGCCAGAGATGGAGGCACAGATGATGACGTGGAGTGGTAGGGGACTCTAGATCCAGAGAGGGAGAGGGGCTGTGTGCTGACGACCAGGGGGCAGGTTGATGATGAATGGAAGGAATTGTAACCATGGCAATTAAACGGATATACGATAGGATGATTGTAAAGCTAATGTTTTCCCATGTAAACTATCACATAATTCACAATAAAACATTTTTTTTTTAAATGCTTTAGGCTGAATTGCAAGCCACGAATGCACCTCTGTCTTTACTTATTCATCAGAGGTGAATTTAAATTAATATATATATATTTTGTTTTGTATGTGTACATCAAATATTTTTGTTTAGTTTTATTGCAAAATATAAGATGTAAAAAGGAAGCCACAGGTAGAAACCAGGATAACTGTTGTTGGCAGGGAGGGGAGGGGATTGTAATCATTGAGATGAAACAAAGATAATTTGTTGAATGTAAAGCTGATGATCTTGTCTGTTAATCTTCACTCAAGTCACAATAAAAAGCTTTTAAAAAAAAATTCAAGAAGTTTAATGAATTCCAAATAGGGTAGACCCCAAAAGAAAAACACCAAGGTGTATTAGAATCACACTTTTTATAACCAAACACAAGGAAAGAGTCTTGAGAGCAGCTCAGGAAAAATTAAAAGATATCTACAAAAGAGAACTAATGATTAAGCAGAAATAATGCAGGCAAGAAGACAATGGAATGACATACACAAAACTCTAAAAGAAAAAAATTGACAACCAAGAATCACACACCCAGAAAAATTGTCCATCAATTATGATGGCAAAATTAGGTCATTTTCATAAATAAAAATAAAAGAATTTGTAAAAACCAGACCAACTTTATAAAAAATACTAAAGGGTCTTCTTTAGACAGAAAATTAATAAAATTAGACAACAACTAGAGACTAACATTCATGAAGATAGAACTCAATCCAGATATAAAAGTTTTCAAAGCAAAACAGACACACACAATTGAAAATAGAGAACCAATGATCCAGTTGAAACCTCCCCCCACCTTGATCATCTATACAGCTCTTATTCATTAAAAAACAAAACAAAAAAAACCATAAAGTAAAAAGAGGGAAATTGGTGAAGAACTGACAGACTTGACCACCTTGTGAGCAGCTTTGGCAATGGAGGGAGGCTGGGCAGATTCAAGTGGGCAAAGGGAAAATTGTGATTTCTTCTTTTACCACATGCTCCCCTGGTGACCAGAGGTGTGGCCAGCTCCCAGCCTCATTCACCCTCAGCACAGACCCTTCTCTTCAGGAGTTCGGAGCCACTTGGTTGCAAGTGCAAGGGGGTGCTGGCTGGAGTATTTTGGTGTAGTGATTTGGTTTCTAGATTCAGGTGGCTTCAGCTCCAGACCTACAAAATCCACCAGACCAGCATTTAACCAATCACCCTAAGGCCAGCTTCCTTGTGGTCCTAACAGACACTGAAACCGGCTCCACCAAGGGCCCCCATGAATTACTTCTGAATTGGATACTCTGAACTGAGGCCAATCTAGGGCCATTTAGGGCCAGGAACTCTGCTGTCACATCCTTTTCACAACCACCTTGTGAGCTCCTTGAATTGCAGAAACACATACGTGATTTCTTCCTTCTGGGTCCAACAACTACATTTTTTTTTTTTTTTTTTTTTTTACAAATATGACAACCCCACAATGCCCCAGAGACAACAGACAATTTTAGCTCACACTAAGAAACAAGAGAGAATGGCTCAAACAAAAGACCAAGATACAGACACAGAAAACATTTCTGAGGGAAAAAAAGGTAATGAAACTAACTGAAAATGAATTCAAAAGAATGGTATTTTGGTACCTTCAGTGGATTGACTGAAAGATTTAGGAAAGCAAGTAGAACACAGAAAAAAACTTTAGAAGAATTCAGGAAACACTACAAGAACAAACAGACAAAATAAATGTAAAATTTGAAACAATACAAAACCTGCAATTAGAAATCTAGAAGATTAATACAAGGATCTCAGGAACAGACAATACATTGAAAGAGCAAAGGAGTAGATTCAAAGGAATGGAAGCCTGGATTATTGAGCTTGAAAAGAGATCTCTCAATATTAGTATGCTAGAAGAACAATCAGAAAAAAGGATGAAAAAACCCCAAGAAAGCCTAAGAGTTATGTGGGACATCATGAAGAGGAACAACTTACAGGTGCTTGGAATTCCAGAACAGGAAGAGATAATAAAAAGCACAGAGAAAATTGTTGAAGAGTTGTTGGAAGAAAACTTGAAAGACAAGAATTTAAGCATACAAGATATTGAACGAACCCTAAACAGATAGA